CCAATCGATCCAGCGATGTGACGCGGCGGCGCTTGTGACGCTGACAAGAACTTCTCTTTTTATTGACCTTCTTCGCCGAAGGTTCACCCATTATGCAGTGACGTCAGCATCAGTCGCGCGCACTCTATTGACCGCCAATCGATGCGCGATCGAGATTTAATCGCGGTATTGGACAAGGGTCTGTGTCTTGGGCTTGGGTTGCTGGGTCATGGAACCTAACGATCATTGCACATATATCCGCGGATCGGATTCGATATCTTCCGGATATCATGCGGTAGACATGGATCTGTCCCTGTGCCGATGCCCCCCCCCGCATATGGTGTATGGAGGATATAGGCTTCCTTCGTTCGTACAAAGGTAGCGAGTGAGGTTAGTCGGTCTGTCGGTCGATCGGTCGGCTGGCGTTCGTCGTAATCGTACGTGGTGGGCGGCAGTGGTTGGTGTGGTAATCGGCGGTGGCATGCGGTGGCAGACATCCGATCGACCGACCACCGCCGGAACAGAACACACAGCCGTAGCCATGGCCATGGCCACTGGCGCAGACAGGCACACAGCCGTTTGTTAGTCGGTCCATCGGTGTGTCCGTTGGTCGGTCGGTCCTTCGGTGTGTCTGGTGCAGTTGCGGTGTGCTGTTGAATGTTGAAGAACCGTGTGTTTACCCAGACACGTCGGTTGCCGTCGAATATGCGTTTTTACGCGGTCGAACGCCGTTGATAAGACCCGCATGCGACAACGGTCAAAATGGAAGTTACACTGACGGCTAAAGGTTTTGGTCGATCAGCGAACGACGTTGGTCTTGTTTCCATCGACATACGTGGGATTTCTGGGCTTTGGCAATGTCATCCAAGTCTAGTATACGGCAGTGATGAAAATGAAGTACCAACCGCTACTCTTCTTCTTCTTACTGACGCTTTGCCTAAAACTAACCCGGTATGGAACCGGTAATTGAAGCCCTTGTTGTCCACTGCTGATCGTGAGATTCCCACAATTTGTTTTGCATTAATATGGAGATGAACCCCGTCTATATAACGTTTAATGGTCGTCAGGGGTCATCGGTCATTGATAGAACCTTCGTATGTACTTTTCGTAATCCGAGTCTCTAAGCACTCGAGCCCCGACCACGTCAGCTTGCTACGGAATTTCGATCAACCCAGTGTACTCGGTTTACTCTCTACGCTTTGGTCGCCGCGTGTGCTTATGCGCAACTCGAAATGGGTTTTAACATTCAGGCTCGGTCACCTATACCATGTTGTCAGCGATTAAATGCAAATGGGCCAAGCGGTTGGGTGGTGGTGAATCGACGGTGCGGTGACTGACCAGCGCTCAACACAGGCGATATTGCTGACTTGTGACGACAGTACGGTTGCAGGCCTTTACACAGTTTCGAATCTGTTAAAATGAGCAGTAGCCATAG